AAAAATCTAGCTAGTCAATAAACTGTTCCTTGTTTATTGTTAATAAAATTTGTACATTTAATTGATTGAATAATAACCTATTAAAATACTTGCATTTATTGTGCACTATTGAATAACTGTCAAAGTTGTTATAGAATATCAGTATTGTATTGCTATAGAACTATCCCATACTAAGTAGATATAATATCTATTAGTAATAGTGAGAGTCTATCTACGAGATAGAAGAAAATGCATTGCGTGATGATTTTGGAGTATACTTATTATGACGAGATCGAGTAACCGTAAAATTTCTGTCATCAGTTATTGGTTGAATATCTACATTATGATAATATCTACCAGGAGCCTGATCGTGATATTACCTTTCATCATCCTTTTACTGTTAAGTTACTTTGTTAGTTTATTAATTTTAATAATTTTTGAATTAATGAAAATACTATAAAAAGATTTTTTTATTATATTTATGTATATATAAATAAAAAAGCAAAATAAGATGAGTATAGAGTATAAATAAATATAATTATAAAGAGATTTGATTATAATATAAAAATTTATAATGATACTACACAAAAAATCTATAAATATAATTATTTATTTATTTTTCTTTTTTATTTTTTTATATTTAATAAGTCAAATTCTATTTTTAATTAATATATTTATTTTTATATTTTTTGTTTGTTTTTAAATTATTATATTTGTATTTGCAAAAAATATATAAATATAAGTAATAACTAAGCTTTAACTCAATAATATAATAAAATATAATTCTTTATTTTCTTATAATTTTCTTTCAATTATATACTTCAAAACTTGTATACAAGTAAATTTGAATTGTATTGAGCTTATCAAAATTGAAACTATTGAATTGATATTTTTGTTATTGAATCATTTAATATTTTCATTATAATTGTATTATTGGTATTTCTCACTTGTTAAAGATGTAATATTTCTTTCTTGTGAGAAGAACAAAGTGAAGGAGTCTTTGTTATAATAATAATTATTATTTTTTGATAGCATTAATTCCCTTTTTTTACCTTTATTCTGAAATTTTCTTTCTTTTGTAACATATTCTTCTTTCTTTATCTGACAAATTGGACAATAAACAATTTCAGTAAAAATTGGCATAGGATCTAAATGCCTTATTTTTTTATTATTTTGTCTTATTGTTTAATCATTTCTCCCAACCCTTGTTCAGGTTTGCAAGCTAATTCCTCAATTAGTGAGCAAACCTGTAACAATAGAAAAACTGTCAAGCTGTATGTCAAAATTAGGCTGTCTGCAAGCAGAATATGCACCTGAATTACTAAAATTGTGGATATATTCGTAAATTGCTTAGCATCTCACGACATGTCTTGATTCAGTTTGTCTGATTGTAAAGTGTTCAAAGTTATCTACGCAAGCATTCACAGTTACGGATAAAATCAACAGATAGTATTTATTTAGTGTCTTCCATTTAAAAAATAAAAACTGGTTAAAGACCACCTGCCTACTTTAAAATTTTGACTTAGAATATTTTTTGCGGGAATTATCAAATTGTTCAATTGCGATTTCTCTTATAACATGATAGTTAAATTTGGTAAACTAAAATCTATAATAACAACAAAGATCAATACTCGAATGCTTGTAACAAGAACTAACCAAAAATTGTGCCAACTCTTCATTGTCGGCCTTTATAATCTTGGTCCATGCTAAAATGATTTCATATTTTCTTTCAAAATTTGTATGTTTCAATCGATTTTCCTGTGCTTTCTTCGATGAATGAACTAATCATTTGAACAATAGATTTATGTCGAATTTGCTTCCATTTATTTTACCATCATTTCAAAGTTTATATACAAAACACAGCAGGAATGAAGTTCAAGGGCCCGTTTGGATTTGTGACTCCTAAAAAGACTGAGAGAATTGCAAAAGAAATTGTCATGGTTCAGAAGCAAACGATAGATGCTGTTCAAATGAATGAATTTTTTTCTTACCAGGAATATTAGTCTATATTATGTGTACATTCTTAACAGAAGAATTATAAACCAGGAGAAACGTTACAGAAAAGAGGCTTGCTACGATTGTAGTTTGTCGTTATCGTTATTGAATATTATTATCGTTATAAACAGAATAATTGATTATTTTAGAAGTATTACTGTTTTATTAATTTCTGCATTAACGTTAACTACATGTAGAAATTAACGAAGAATTTCAACAGTTACATTGATCCGTGTTAAGAAAGCCGTAAAGAATACGATATTGGCTTAAATTATTAGGAATTGTGTGCCTAACTGATACTATATATATAAGAGAAAATGGTCTGGATGTGTTGTATCTTATAATTTGAAAGTGCGATGCGTTTTTTTTTTTTTTGTTATCTGAAATAAGGGTAATCATTGGTAAAAAAAGATATCTGTTTCATATGCTCTTGCGTATTTCAAATAAGCGAAGAAACAGTTTATTAAGCAAATAAAAAGAATAAAGTGCTATTATTATATAAATAATATAATGTTTCTTTAGTAAATAGTCTAATTTAAAACGAACGCGTCAATATAACAACCAATTCGTTTAGCTTGACGGGAAAAACAACATTCTTATGTGTGAATTTTCAAGAAAAATAATCAATAAAATACCAATTAAGGAATGATTAATATAATATTATCTAGAAATTTAAGATTTTTACACATCACACACACACATATTATATACAAGAAGGAATGAAAACGCCTATCAAGGAAAGAAAATGGTATGCATTTGGAAAAACGATCATGAAGTGAAGGATGGAACGAATCGAGAAAAATGATTATGAAGTGAAAGACGGAAAAAATAATTATGAAGTGGATTGAGTTGATGCCTTGATTAGCGAGATTGAAAACGTATCCCATAATGAACGGCTTTTTGTCGTAGGTGTTGTTGATGATTCTGAACTATTATCGGAATTTATTTGTTGATAATGTTCTTCTTCAGTTGTTGTTATTGTTTTTCCCTGTAAGAAAAAGAAATTATTTTCTATTATTCATAATAAATTCATAATAAAGTAGAAAAGTCACCTCTTTCATGACTCCCTCTTGAATGATTTCTTCTTGAATAATTTCTTCTTGTAATACTTTGCTCAATGGCCGTTTCTTCTTCAGGTAATTTGCTTTTAGAACTATTAATTATTAATGAAAAATGCAGATAATTTCTGATTTAATGTATGCTTGCACTAACGGTAATAAATGTAAATTAAAAAATACCTCTTCGCATTTTAACTGGATACGGTCTTCCCTCTTCATCATATTTTACATATACTAAATGTCTTAATTCAGGTACCCGAGTCAACACCAAGTCGTGTTGTGGTGGTGATCGATAGGCGACATATTGAAATACAGCAGCAGGATCCATCGCATCCAAGTTACTCACATCCAAAAACCAAACGTCTTTACGACGAATTAACGAATAATGCACTACTCTCCCATTCACATCCATCACTTTCACTTCATTAATGACATCTAGAGGAGATAACTGTAGTTGTTTATCCTCTTGGTTTTGATTACTGATTACGATGGCGTTATCATTATTGTAAGTTTTTAATCTCGGAGCGATCACAAGAGAAGTGGTTGAATTAGAAGAGGAGACGGAAGAGGACATGTTGTCATCATTGCCTTTATTATTATCATTATTACTGTTATTATTATTATTTCTCTTCTTTTTCTTCTCCTTCTTCTTATTCTTATTATTCTTATTATCATCATCATCGTATACATTATTGTTGACATTTAATGCGGTGTTCGATATTTCTCCTGAAATAGCAGTTGACGAACCCGACGAAGAGGAAACAGTTCCAACATTACCATCGAAATTCAAAGTAATTCTACGTGAATTTGCACAAGAGAATCTTCTAAGATCTGACTCGCTCGCTATTCTTCTATTTAAAGATTGCTGTTGTTTTTTTTGTTGAGTTACCAGCATTTTCGATACTTGTACTAACAGAAAGGTTGTCGTGTTCGCGCGCGCGTGTGTGTGTGTGTGTGTGTGTGTGTGTGTGTGTGTGCGCGCGCGCGTATATGTGTGTGTGTGTGTGTGTGTGTGTGTGCGTTCTAGTATACTTGTTTTTTGGTATATTTATAGGAAAGTGAGAAGAAAAAAGAAGGATAATAATAATAACTCATTAACAATAATAAAAAAGATTTTCGTTAAGGCAGCTTTATATATTTTAAATATTGAAACATGACGTATTTATTATTAAAAGTTATATCGGTTCTAGTTTCTTTTCTCGACCTAAACATGTGTGATTCACTCTTATCCCCTATGACTTAAATGAGCGTGTTACCCACGATTTAATAAAGATCTTATGTAACTACAAACTTTATGTATTTTAATTTTTTGGAGTGATGTTTTTACATTGTGATTGAGACAAGTGCTTCGAATTATTCTAAACTAACAATAAAGCAATTACAACGCGTTCTTACCAGAAAATTACTCATTAGATCAATAAATTAGGATGTATTTATTTGTCTCATACAATGCTCGCGTGAGTGTCGTGTGAGACTTTTATCCAATTAAATCATAAAATAATGAAAGATCGACAATTGCGCGAAGGGGCATGTGGAGATGATGTTGTACAGAACCATTTTTGATAAAAATATCCGTGCCGGTTCGGCGCATTTGTCTTTCATGTCATTGTAATACATGATATATACAACATTAAAGACTTTAATTTTTATATCCATTACTATATATATGTATATTGATTTATCCACAAACAATATAGATAGCTATCTAACAGTCAATGAAAAGCTGCCCCAACTACGTATGAATGAAAGTGTTATCGTAATTAAGATTACCTGCCGTAAGTGTTTCAAATACAGGGTATTTGCATGAAAATGCCAGAATTATAATATTTTTGACCAGAATTACAAGGGATAAATTACCATTTACCGAACTCGTTACCTCAAATATTTAAACAATAGAATTTTCATTGAAGATTATTGGATCAATAGATTTTATCCAATCCAATCATAATATAATGGGAAATTAATTAAAGATCGACATTCACGTTGGGTCTGATGGCGAAATGTGAAACACACGTGTGATTTATACAAGTTCTGATTGAACGCGACTATTTTTGATCGTTTTAATCTCGTTAATAAAATAAAAAAACATTATGTAGAAATCGATAAGAATTTTCTTATTGAATGCAAAAAATTAAATTAAATTAAATTAAAAAGATCGCGTATAAATAAATCCAATGAGGCAATCAACATGATAACACTTCGAAAAAAGGCCTGGCAAACGTGAATGTCGTGTTGATTGATTACATCATAAAGCCTTTCCAAGTTATACACGTAATAAAGTTTTTACACGCAATAAAGTTTTTCCACGTAATATATATAATCATAATTAACCCTTTTCCATAATTGTCACCAAAAAAAAGATCCAAATTATTGTTCAAAAAAGGGCACCAGATTTCATGAGTCATCAAAAAACGTGAATCTTACTTCATGCACTTTTAAACAGTTCTATTAAGCGATTTTCTCTGACAATATTATATTCATATAATTTATTTTTTCCCATGCATTATCATAGTAGGGGATCTAGCTCAAATGGTAGAGCGCTCGCTTAGCATGCGAGAGGTACTGGGATCGATGCCCAGGTTCTCCATTTATTTTTTGGAAAAACGAGTCGATACAGTTAGATGTTTTCACGAATTCTACGAGAACAATAATGCATTTACAATCGTATTATTTTTATTATAGTTTGTCTAGATGAGTTATTTGCCAATCTAGCCACTTATTATACTCGAAAGGCCACATCTCTCTCACAGGTTCCATTATTTCCAAAATCTCTCTATGAGATCGTCCATCGCGTTTCAAGTTTATCGCAATAACTTGAATAGTTTCTTCTTCTGGGGGGACATTCTTTTCTGACATATGTTCCACCAATACTCGCATCGCTTCATCCGGATCGTTAAATTCACTACACAAAATGGAAATATAATGCCTATACTGTTGTTCGTCTAATCGAAGTGTTTGGGATTTCATAAAGATAGCCCACTGCTTTTTAAGCACATTTAAATCATCGAGTCGAGAAAGCCCATTACAAATAGCGACGACAGCTACTCTTAATTTCTTATTTTGACACGGCAAATATGATAAGTCGTTCCACGCTTTCACAATTTCCTCACTTGTTCCAACTAACGTATATCCTAGCAAAAGGGCCAACATTGAAACAGTATTTTCTCTTACGCCCGGAATTGCTTCCAATCTTGGGAGCCAACGAGTTACGCGTATATAATCTTTGCGATGAAATAAACTAGTCATGAGTCTACCAACTTGTTCTGCATGTGGCTCTTGATTTTTAGCACGGAGTAATGATGCAAAGTAGGGTTCAGCGCGATATGGCATATTTCGGTCTAGATATGCATTTCCTATCACGTCTATTGTGTATCTTAAGGGCATTATCTTTTGTTGTAGAAATAATTTAGTTATTCGATAGGCTACATATCTTTTACTATGCCAGACAAATCCTGCTACGATGTAATGTAATATTTCTGGCAATTTAGGCATATTGCTTAGTGGGAACGTTTCAGCAAGTTCTCTCGCAGCTACAAGCATGCTTTTCTTGGTGTATAAACCTTCGAACACAGTAAGAGTAACAACGGGGTGGGGACATAAACCTTCACTCCTCATTATATTATATAAATTTAGCGCCTGATGAATTTGATCCTTGGCGATTGATTCGTTGATAAGATCAAGATAACTTTGAGAAGCAGGATCAATTGGATAAGATTCCGATTTCACCATTTCCTTATAAAACAAGTTGAGAAATTCAAGTTTTTTAAATCTATTCGATTCGTGAACTAGATTCCCTAAAACATTCGCAGAAGGAATCATATTGACACTCTTTACTGCTTCTAAGACGTCTTTATAATCTTGGAGAGATCCCGAGCCTATAAGATTATTAATAACTCTATCGAGATCTCTTTGTATCGGTTTGTGGCCAGCCGCTATCATATTCAATAGAATATATTTGGCATGAAAAGGATCCTTCCAAGCAATGCCAAACAGCATGCGTCCATAACTCGATGCATCAGGCTCGACCCCGCTTTTACGTATTTTATTCCACACCGTAAGAATACGCTTAAATACATTTTTACTGGGTTTTTCCTTTTCTCGCATTGCATATTGTGGATCCTCACCTTTCTGATTATGTAGTGCTTCCTGTCGCATGATTGCAAACTGATGATTAAGAAGATGATCTATGAGCACATAAACTGTTTTTTGTTCAATTTGCAGATTATAATATTCAAGGGAAAAATTGAACACTTCGATTGCTTCGTCAAGCCATCTATTACGTGCCAAACATCCAATCATCACATTAAATGTAATATTCATTTTATCGTCTTCGATGGCTAGTTCAGGTAATGGGGGCCCTTGGTAATGATAGTTTTGTCGGACAAATGATTTCTCCTGCTCCTCTTCCATATATTCGAATTCAATTTCTTTCTCATTTGCATTATAAAATAGTGAGATTTTTTTCATGGGTTCCTCTTCTTTTAGATCGATTTTCGGTGGCTCTTGATTGTTATTATTATTTGACACTTCAATTGCTTTTTCTTGCTGTTCTTCGTGTTCATTGAACGGTTCATTCGTACCCTCTTGTTCCTTATCCTCATTTAATATTTTTGATGACGTTTTTTCATTCTCTTTTGATTTGATTTGTAAAAATACTTCATACATTAATGCAGGATCATTTTCGGTGTTTGCTTGTCTTGTATAAATAGATATTTTCAAGTTAGCGGATAAAGGAAAGATATCACGATCAATGTCATTAACGCGCGGTTTCAAATGTTTTAAATAATCTTCTGGCATATCAGCTCGTTCCTCTTCAAGTAGTGGTTTCAAATTCCTTAAATAATCTTCTTGCATTTCAGTTCGCTCCTCTTTTTTTAATTGAGTATATAAATAGTCCAATTCATTCTTTATATCTTCTTCGTCCATGTATCGATTCGAGTCTCTTAGCAAGCCAAAATCATGACGTCGATTAACTCTAGTAAGGGAGCTTTTAGAATCTTCCCATTCAACTTTTGTCAAACGTGGTTGCGAATATGATGGAACCCGTTGTTCATAATTACGTCGTCCCGTTGAAGATGTTGAAGTTGACGAATAATTATCAGAATCAAGTTGCGAATTCTCATATCGCTGAATCGCCGGAAACATTTCAGTCCATTCAACCTTTTCTAAATGTGGATTGGAGTTTGAAACTTCAAAGTCATCTTTTCTTGCAACGTCTTTCCTTGCAACACGACGTAATTGATCATCATATTTCCAATTTTCTTGTTCTGAAACGTGGTCGAATGAATTTTTGTTTCTCGTGAAACTTCTAGATCGCGTCGTTTCATCGATGCTTGTTGAATAGTTCTCCGAGCCAGGAGGTTCGTAGGCTCTTGAATTCGTTCGATGCAATTGCGACTTTCGTTTTCTTTCCATTCTTTCCAGAATTTCTTCTTCAGAAGGGTAAAGTTCGGGATTTCGCATTCTTTCCTGTATTTCTTCTGCACTTGGATAAATATCGGGATTTCTTTTATGTCTATTTTCAAAATTAGAATATTTTTGCGGAGGACCACGTTTTATTCTGTTATTCTTGTCATTGGTGTTAGGTTTAACAGTAGTTAAGTGGTACTCTTCTTTTGACCAGTAACGGGAGAACTTTGACTCTTTTTCGTTGTAATAAGCAGTAGCAGGAATTGCAGGTTTGGTAGTAGTTATGTGATACTCGTCTCTTGGCCAGTAATGAGAAGACTTTGACTCTTGTTCGTTGCAATAAGCAGCAGGTTTAGTAGTAGTTTGATATTCGTCTTTTGACCAATAACGAGAAGGCTTTGACTCTTTCTCGTTGTAATAAGCGGCAGGTTTAGCAATTTGATATTCGTCTTTTGACCAATAACGAGAAGGCTTTGACTCTTTTTCGCTGTAGTGAGTAGGTTCATTGTAAGAAAATCTTGACTCGTTTCTGTATAAACGCGTGTGTTTAAAGTAAAAATGTGTGGGCTGAAGTGTTAATTTCGAAAAAAAGTTTCTAGTAGTTCCGAGAAGAAACATAATAATAAGGCAAATTTTGGTATGATTTATTGTGACTCATTGAATTTTGCGTGCACATGTATATTCTATATTCCAGCTTTCATATATTCAATTTTACAAGAAATCTGGCTTCACACCAGTCAAAATAGTATACACTTGCACATACTTTTCCATCGTTTTTAAAACAACATCACTTGGTAGTTCAATACTTGTCTGCCTGTCATAGTCAATGCTAAGTAGATAATTACGCACGTATTGTTTGTCGAAGCTTTTTTTTTTGATGAAAATTTTGATCAATAAAAGTAAAAAAAAATAAGGATTTCTGGTATCAAAGTTGAGATTAAACTTTACCTTTGCTGGTTTTGTCCGACCTTGAAATCTTCTAATAACCAAAATCTTGAAGAGTCTTTCCAAGTTTAATCACTCAATCAATTAATTAATTAATCTATAATCAAGATGCATGCATATTCTCTATTATTTATTTGAATTAATAGATTGAATACCTGGCGTCAAGACTTCATCAACCAAATACAACTTTCCATTTGAATCGGTACCAAACTCGAATTTTGTGTCTGCGATGATTATTCCTTTAGTCAATGCATATTCTTTTGCCTTTTTTTTGTGATTTTTTTTTAATCTTGGAATTAAGTTTATATTAGGCAAGAAAATAAATAAATAAATAAGTAAAAATTGCTTTATTTACCTTATTATATAGTTTCAAGGATGCTTCTTCGATTTCTTTTGCATATATTTCACCCACTAATCCTACAACTGTAATGACAAATAAATGATGTGAATATTATGAATTTTTGAAAATCCAGCAAATATAAATACTTTTACTCGGGTGAATATTTTCATCTGAAAAATGAAAAAAAAAATAGATTATCAATCAAAATAATTAACAATTAACAAACAATGAGTAATATTATTACCATGTTGACCAATCTCTGCTTTAGTGCTAGGTGTGAACAACGTCTCGGGTAATTTTTGACTTTCTAACAGTCCATCCGGTAACGGTATATCACAAATGCTACCTTTTTTCTTATACTCCGACCACGCGGATCCTATAAAAAAAGAAATCACAACCAATTTTTCAAAAAAAAGCTAAAAGCTAAAAACCAATAATAAATAATAAATAATATACCGGTAATATAGCCACGTATAATAGACTCAATAGGAAGAACTTTGAATTTTCGAACTAATAAACATCGATGCTCCAATTGCGATCGATATTTTTGCACTTCAGCGGGCATTTTCTCGAAATCCGCAGTGATCAAGTGATTTGGCAGTATTTCGTAAAGTTTTTCAAACCAGAATACACTCAGTTGTGTTAATAATTTTCCTTTACTTGGGATCCCCTTGTTTATCAATATTGATATTTAAGTTTTAATGGTTCAGAAATCGATTTTTTTATAAAGCTCATAATAGAGATATAAATTGTAAATATTAAATATCAATTCATTCACATTTTTCATGATAACATCAAACGCGCTTATCCTATCCGTCGCGACAAACAACAGCGTTTCCTCATCAATGAGATACAAATCGCGTACTTTACCACGCGATAACAATTTTAAGTCTGGACAATGACTTTCAAGTAAGGCGTAAGTTGTCGTAGACATAATTTAATTGGTTAATCTAATTTTTGATTTTTCCACTAAAAATCCAGTGAGATGAGCAGCAAGGCACAGATAATATGCTCAAGAAAATGTTAGTTTTGAGAAATCAATCCTTCAGTTCATTTTGCACAGTGTAAGTTTACAAAGTGAAAATGGTATCAAATTTATATCAAATTATTCAGATTTAAATAATTGTTAGACAACAGGTTTGCAGAAAAACCTCTTCAAGAGCCACTATATTATTATTAAGGTCATACTCTAATGGAGCTTGCTTTCGTCGTATTCCTTTTACTTCCAAATTTAAGTACTATAAAGATACCAAGATTAAAAGGTGAATAATAAGAGAAAGTGTAGAATTAAGATACACTTTTATCCGATTAATTGATTTTTTTTTTGCTTCATATATATCAGCGAAATTTCCTTTAGATGCACTTTTACGCGACAAAATTTAAATAATGCAACAAATTTACGCGTCATAGAACGCTCTTTTACCTCTCCTCCTCAAAAAATCAATTCTCAAAAATCCCAAGGCTACTTTGCAAAAGCCCGAGAACTTGTAACATTCTATAAGAATGGTCTGAAACAATTATGGGAAAATCAGAAAGTCGCACGACAATTGAAAGCGAAAAGAGATGAAAACCTAAGCTCGCTAACTCGGCATGAATTTCAATTGGCATGTGTTAAAAATAAATACTCGATGTGAATTTCAATTGGCATGTTAAAATAAATAAATATACGATATATTTATCAAGTTTATAGATTAGAACTGCTGATTCGGATCGATCGAAGTTGATTCCATTCGCATTAGTTCTAATCACGATTCCTGAACTGTTGCCGCTTTTGGTTATTATGGCACCTTTTTTAGTGCCCAGCACATGTGTAACTCCTGAACAATTGGTATTTATATGATTTTTATTTTTAGCATTCCTCTATATGTTCTGATTATTTTTTTCTCATTAACCATAAAGGAGAAAAGAAGACACAAATTATACGAAAAGCAACAAACGATTCATAATGAGATACTGGGGAGTTCTAACGTTGCCAACGTATGTATATGAAAAGTATCATTGTTTACAATATATGAGATTAATTTCTTTCTGCTATTTATTATTATTAGTTGGCAGAAGAAGATTTTCAAAATTTACAACGTATGATTCAACTTCAAAGGACTGTTGAAGGCCATAAAGTTTCTTTGAAGAATTTCAATTCGCACCTGTTGAAATATTTTTGTAAGTAAGTAAAAATGGTTTGAAATGTATTTTTTCTTTTTCGAATCCCAAATTCGAATAATTGTTCATTTCTTGATTTCTAACAGATTCATGGACTTGAGAACATGGGGCACCAGAAAAATGTTACAAAAAAGACTGGAAAAACATTTAGATTACATATTTGAAGATGATTTGGTAATTAAACTAAAGATACTTTAACAAATTATTAAATTCACATTATTATATTATTGGATTTTTCTCTATAGATGATACAAAAAGAGGATGTGACTAAATTAACAATCGATGAACTCTTAAAAGCGAGTCAAGAACGCGGGATGTGAGTGAATTATTTTATTTTATTTTATTTTATCTTTATTCTACCACTCACTTTAATGCAATCACGATAGACGATGCATAAACATATCCAAAAGTCAAATGCGTCATGCACTAGATTACTGGATTTCGTTACACTTAAATGAAGATCCAGAAATATCCGATTTTTTGTTGATGTTCAGTCGTATATTCTTATTGGATGCAAAGTATTTTGCGATGGAAAATGATTCATTGTCAAGTGGGAAAAAGAAAAAAGAAATTGTCGCAGAGATTTGAACAAAGAAAACCAACATATTGGTTCTTACAGTAAGAAATCTATACACAAGCTCAGAATTTTAGATTCCAATCTAATTAAATAGATATAGAAAATCAAATTGCTTATACATCAGAAAATAAAAGAACACGAATAAATTTTTACGTTTTATACATCAATAAGGTAATTTATGTGAATTTAAATACAATAAGCTTATTGTATTTTAAAATATTTTTAGTACGTTAGCAGTGAACATGTTGAATAATAACAAATCCAAAATTATCATATTCTCCAAGGTATAAAATAATGATAATTTACTTGAAAATAACTAAATTGGTCCATGGAATCCGTACAACTCAGTTTCCAGCACCAGCACCAGCACCAACACCAACACCACCACCACCACCACCAACACCACCAACACCAACACCAACGCCACCGCCACCGCCATAACCAAAATTACTGAATTAAATATTATTAAATATTGTTTAACATATCAATTGTTAGATTAAAAATGAAAATAACTTACATCATTTTGAATGGATATTCAACCGGCGTATCTTTTCGCTTCCAAATCTTTTTCCGCATTTTTTTCGTTACATGTTCAACCACTATATCTTCACAATAACGGTTTTTGAACTCACGTACATAACGGGGATCCCTAATACAGAAAGCCAACAAAATTGAATTTGATGAAATAGCAAGGAATCCATACTTTTCTATCTCTTTTTAATTACCATAATTCAGATGCAATTCCTAAATCTTTACAGCAACGCATTAGTGCATTACTTTTAGCACCTTCTGCGGCCGTAGCAAGACCAGATGGCTCAAAATATTCTTGTTCGCCACGTGCAACGGAAACCAATCTTTTTTGGAATTTCAGAAAAAAATTATGAAATTGAAACTTTATTATTATTATTATTATTATTATTATTATGATTCAGTGGATATTTTTTCATACCTTCCTAGACACACGAGTGCATATTCTCTTGAAATATTCCTTGGACTTACGGAATTTTCACCGCGTGGTGCAAGTCCCCATCCTTAATTTAAGATTCGCATAAAAGAAATCAGCTTCGGTTGAAGTAAAAAATTTTGTTTTAACAATCACAATGGTAATTACCTCCCGGCCCAAAAGCCAGATTCAAGATACGACGATATTTTATTTCAGGAAGATAAATCATTCCATCTATATAATAATTCAAATTCGAAAAGTCACTTGAACAACTTTTAAAAAAAAAAGAAACAGGAAAAACAATATTAATATCAAATTACCAGGCTTGCACTCCACATCATCCGGATCAACAGGTTTCAATAAAATCTCAATAGCTTCCTTTGGAAAGGGCTGCAAAGATAATCCATAAAATGATTTTGACCAATCGTGCCCAGTATCGTCTAGAGATGTATCTTGAGCTAGACTACTCGATAATTCGGTGGTAGGAGGGAAACTTGCGGTACTTTGTGGTGGTTGCTGCTGTTGTTGTTGTGTATTTTCAGTATTCCCTTGATAGCTGGTAAGTTCATTTTCTCTTGGCACTTCTTCAATAGAGAGAGTATAGTTTCTTATAAAAGATCTACTATACAAGGGAAGAGACTTTGACGCAGATACGCGTAGGAAAACGTAAAAAAACATGCATTAACACGACACTCATGCGTTTAATATAATTTTAGATACTTGCTCGCTGTGCATATGACTGGGTAAGAATATGCCCTTGGCTTTTAAATATATTTTTTATGACGTTATGAAGCTTTTTGTTCTTTATAATCGAAGACATTGCCGTGCGAGAATTGAATGAATCCGTGCTTTCAAATCTACGATTTTACGTGTTTGTAATTTTTTTTGATGGCAAAGATCTGATTGGTAGTTTAGTGGATCATGACGCATATATAATTGGATTTCCTCTTCTAGAATAGTCTTCAACACATCTATCATTGTAAACTTGAATGGAGAGTTCTAATAACAATCTTGCCGATGAAAGGATTATACTGAACGTGGGTGGTGTAAAAGTGAGTATTTTTAGAGTGTTGCGACTTTTTTTACCCCTAAAAAAAAATGAAGTTTGAAAGCCAGTAGTTGTCCATGTACTTAAAGGGACACTTTGTCGTCGTCAGTATGAAACTTATCGGTCGACGTTGACCGCCTACCCGAATACGCTTCTCGGAATAATGTTTCAAAAGAGAAACAACGAACTACTTCGACCCACCAATGGAAATGAATTCTTTTTTGACAGAGATGGACAGATTTTTCGATATATAATGCAATTCTACCGTACCGGTGAATTTCTTTGGCCCGAACAAAGCACACGGCCTAAATACGAACTACAGTTACCACACCCGTTCAAACATCAACAAGAAGTTCAATTAAAGCACACGATTGAAATCTCGAATTATGAATTAAAACGAGAATTGGATTATTTTCAAATTCCGGAACAATACACGCAACGATCACACGATCCACCACCTTTCCCGTTCGCGAAAGCTGCTGCGTTTCGCGTTGATGAATTTATCGCGGCATTAAAAGACGCGATATATGAAATGATTATTAACTTTCGCACTAAAGTTGGCATTACATTTAATTCGGATAAAACAACGCCAGTCGTAAATCCAAAAATCGATGCGGTAGCAAATATAGTTATACCCTTCGCGTTCACTGGTTATCATATTCTTCACATGTTTCATAGACAAATAGAAGAACATCTTAAACTCTTATATCCTGATCTTGTAGTTCGCATCGATAAATTTAATGGTGATACTCCACGCGCGCATGTTAATGTCTATATCACATTGAACAATAATCTAGAACCTTCAATAATCTTGGAAAATTCTTGTCTCATAAAACCTTCCTCCCCTCCTGATAATAGTGACGATGATGATGATGATGATGATGATGATGATGGTGATGAAAATGGTGATTCTCTTGTATTGACTCGAAAATCAGCGACAAATCAAAGAAAAATTCAAGAGGATAAAGCATGAATTTTTTAATTCCTTAGTACCATTATAATCGAATAATCATTGGTGGTTTCAAATCATCATTGGTTGTATCAAATCATTGTAATATATAAATAACAAATAAAGATCAACCTTGGGTGTCAATTTCTGTTTTAAAGTTTTTCTCTGCAACTATTCTTCTCTTGAACCACCATATATACTCTCACATACGTCGCACATTTTTCATCAAATATGTCTGGTCGTGGTAAAGGTGGTAAAGGACTTGGAAAAGGAGGCGCAAAGCGTCATCGCAAGATCTTGCGTGATAACATTCAAGTAATTTTAGCTCCAGAAATCACTATAACAATACTCTATTGAATTTTTTGACATCAGGTTCCTTTTATTAATGTCTATTCATGTTCTCAAACAGGGAATCACAAAACCTGCTATCAGACGTCTCGCTCGACGTGGTGGTGTCAAACGTATTTCCGGACTCATCTACGAAGAGACACGTGGAGTTTTAAAAGTATTCCTTGAGAATGTTATCCGAGACGCGGTTACTTATACGGAACACGCCAAGCGAAAGACCGTAACTTCACTTGATGTTGGTAAGTTACGCGCTTCAATAACATACATATTTGCTCTCAGTGATATTAGATTTTCATTCATGAATCATTTGTAAAATTATTAGTCTATGCCCTTAAACGCCAAGGTCGTACCCTCTATGGATTTGGCGGATAAGTTATTACGCTCGAGTATATATACTATATATGATCATTCATTTGATCGTTCTTTTCCTTTTTATTAAGTGCGAGTCAGAAATAAATATAGAAAAAAATATTCTGCATTGATTTATAGATAGATAGATAGGTAGATAGTTTTTGTACACAAATTAAATTAGATTGCATTTATAAATGTAATTTCTAAGCTGACAAGATAAAACAGCTATATATACATCTCATAATGAAAATCCTGAATTCCAATTCTGGCAATCAAGTTCCTTTTGGCCTAATTATGGAATGTGTTTTAAAGTTTATTTTTAATTGAGCTGATTATTCCGTTTTGATCGCGCCATTTTGAATGATTTTCGCGTGGCCATTAATCTTTGTCTCGCCATTTAATTTTACTTTTTCGGCTGTATTTACATGCTCGCTGGATCTCTTTTCCCGTCGTTTTGGCAAAATCACATCCAAAAATATCAATCCAAAAACAATAATATGCCCACAGTAATACACATTTGCCCAAGCCGTGTGTATGTGTTCCCATTTTAAAAGAGTGAAGGGAACCATTGCATAATGCAATCCACATGTTTGTCCAAACCAGCAAGCGAACAGATGCAACCGTCTCAATAATTGAATCAACGGCTTGTCCCGGTTCTTTATATCATAAAGTGGTTTTGTGTATGGCTCCAAACGTTTCGCCCATCTTCTTTCCGCATCAATATCGAAAAATTCGAGAGAAAAGCACAAAAAGTAACCAGAATGTGTGCCATGCCAGACGGCAAGGAAGAACAATGTTACGATCGACGAAAGATTTTTGTTTCCAAGAGAGATCAGACGTTTGAAGATATAGATCTTGGACCAAAGATTTGTGTTGGTGTTGAATGAGGTCACAATTTGTGATAATGATGTGGCGAACTCGAAGCGATACTGAGAAAGAAATAAATCAAGATTTTATGTCATTTTTAATAATTCAGAATTCATGGGATTTTTTCTATGCTTACCTTTGCTACATTCGACAAACCGTTCCATTCAGCTTGTCCTTTTTCGTTAAAGCCATTGAAAGAAATTCCAGATAGAACGCATGCACCTTCCACCAATGTCCAAGTACCAAGATACTACATATAGATAAAAGTATATATTAATTTATATGATCTCGCTTGACTTTATCATGTCTCGTGAATTCTTTACCTTTGTAAAGGAGAATTTTGCAGCACACCACATGAACGCTAGCTTTTCCCAGAAAGTTCTAGCAGCATATTCTTCCGTGATTAGATAAGTGATAGGGAAAAATCCAGCGGCAATTTGATATACTCCCAAATAAATTGCACCAAGTAAAAAGCATTTTAGCGCGGATTTATACGACCCGGAAGGAATAGAAGTAGGATTGGGATATACGGAAAAAGTAATAAATTTTCGATATAAACTAAATGAAAATTGAGGTCCGGTTAAAAAAGCACCAAAAAAGTGTGCATAACCAATTGTCTCTATGAACGATGGTAAAGTCGCCAATCTACAATCTTTTTCGAATGATATTGGTTGTTGATGATGTGCATTTCTCGTCGTCGTCGTCGTCGATTCATGCTTTATATTTGATGATGAATTAACAGTTGCTGACTTATTATCTTCATCGGGATTTTTTTTCGATTTCAATAAAGTAGCGCCATCCATGAAATCCATTGCAAATCCAATCATTCTTAGACATAACACACATTGAGTCATAGTCCAATCGATATCATAATCATCGGTTGCAGTATAATAATACCCAAAGACGAGATAGGCCATATTGAAAATAAAGATCAACGCCATCGCAAATTTTCGATTACCTATCGCGTCACCGAACCACATTAATAACCAAGTAACCGTTGTCGTTATCAATGAATGGATCATATCTAAACCGTTAAAAAAGTATGCTAACGCGAGGCCGGTGACGACGATATACAAGTTGCGAATTCTTGGTGCATTTTTCGAGTTTATTGGACGGAGAAAGGCTATGCGATAGAAAAGAGCAATTGGATAGGCAAGAAGAATAGCAACAACTAGACGAAGTACTGGCTCCGGGATACCAGTTGCGTCACTTAACGATTCTAAAACCATGATGCGTTTCAATAATAATAATAAAAATATACTCGATACGCGAAAAATTGAAAAAATTTTATTTAAAATTTGATTCCGAGCTCGATAGTATTCCTCGAAACAAGTTTTTTTTGGGGGCGATAACACACAAACAGGATATATATATATATACACACACACATATATGCGTGAAAAGGGTTCATTTGGGGTAGCAACAAAAAAATTTCAGATTATTCCTAATTTGTCAGCTTTCAGGTTGAGTTTACATCATATGCTTGTTAGTATTGTGTATTGTTATGAATAATGTTTTTGTTTGAACTTGTATTATCAATTTAAATTTTGCATAGCGATAGCTAAAAATGTTTGTGTTTATTCCCATTATGGAAAACCAAAGATGGAGAATCAATTTAAACTACACCAACAATCGTTGAAATTGTGAGATAAATTCTATTCTTCAAAGGAATGAAAATTTTTTAGAAAATTTTAGATACAATGTAATTAATGTTCGTGGTTATTTATTATCTATTTAGTTTTCTTCATTTGGTATACACATTTTGGGTTTTTAAGAATTCACATGCTCCCGAAGATTTCAATGGATACTGGCATATATCTTATTGTTTTGCACCACCACGTTCAAGATAATATTTATATTCAACAAATTATTATTATTATTATTATCACCCTAATAATGGAATTCTATATCTATAATAACTAAATTATAAATTGTGATTTCGTTCACTTTCCTTGACTAAATCAGTCTCCAGATAATCCTGCAAGAATACAATAGCAAGATTTGATATTTTGCGATTATCAGTCTGCGACAATTGTTTTACACGTTCAAAGACAGATTTAATATCTATTTAATTTAAAGAGGATAAAACCATCAACAAAAATGAATTCTTTGAAAATATTAATGTGTTTGTGGAGGATCAAAAGATACCTGATTTGCTGAAAGATATGTTCAAGAACATTAATGTGGCGAGTGCTGAAAGCACCGTATTTTCATTTTCACTTGATAGACAGTCAATAATCAGAGGAAGCCCATCAGAGGTGATTATGTGCTCTTTTGCGCGGTTTTCTAAGTTCCCGTAATAAACAAACACGTTACTTAATAATTGTAAACATCAAACTATATATATATATAAATAAATACCTAAACAAATATTACATATCCCGCCTATACCAAACTCTTTGATTTTCTCCTCTGGTTCGGTAATCGCATCTATGATAAACAAAATTATTATTATATTCTGCAGACAAATTTTACTCGGTTCAACTCTCACCCAAGAACAAATCCACAACGTTCAATTGACATAAAAATTTATAATTGATTGGATCATATGCGAAATTCGCCAAATTCGCCAGGATTTGGTGCTTTGCCTCTTTCAGAAAGCAAATCAATGAGCATTTTTTTGAAATCATCAAGCAAATCATCCTTATAATTCATACCTATATCTGTTGTAGTCTGATATTCATTTACCAGTTCTTGAAGATATTCTAAACTGTTGTTCAAAAAACTCGTAATTAGCAAAAGTCAAAAATAAGATTTTTATTAGATTATTACCGTGGAGTGCCGTATTTTCCGGTACGTTTTTCAAGTTGTCTAGTGCTCGAAAACATTACTTGATATTAGGATTTAACATTAATATGAACATTTTCTCGAGTTAAAGATATTGGTTGTTACTTTGTAACTTGGATGACCAAGACAAGAATATTGTGAACAGCTCCAATAGTCAAAAAAAACTTTCAAGGATGATAACAAAAAAGGAAAGCTGATTTACACAGAGATGTTAAAATTTCGATGATTTCATTATTATTACCGTTATAGGAATAATTTATTTTGATAACAGGTTTCGATCAGCATCATTAAATGAATTACTATTTGTTTTTGTAGGTGTATAAGTCTCCGAAGCCTTAACTTATAGATCAAAATACTAGTATCATCTTTTTCTTATGATCAAACAAGTCCCAAATAAATATATTCTGTTCCCGTACCAGACCATTGCATAAAAATTAAGTTCAAAACCTGTATTAAGAAAACTGATTTTGCAATCCCAAGGCAATAACTATTAATGATCTTTATCAGAACTTTATTGATCAGCATTGGTAGCCAGTGATTGTATTTCACCCTATAAATGAGAGAATACCTAGTTTTTTTACGGTGACATGCCACTTGTCATCTATTACTTCTGAAGAAAATATTTCTTGAAAGAGGAATCCTTTTCCCCTTCTGGAACGATTCATATTGAATCAATCTAAATATTAAGTATTTCATAATATTCAATCATTTTTCACAATTCTTAGTTTTTCAATAAATTGTATTGGCAAAGTACTGAGCTACATCATTAATCACTTGATTCTTTACAGTCAATGACACTTTCTCTTGTTAAACTCAATAAACAGGGCTATAGAATATAAGCAAATATAGATTGTCATCAGATTTTGTGATTTTTTCTTCAGATCTTTACTGCATATTCTTAAGCCCTGAATGCAACAAACAATTACTTTAGTAGAAGATTTCTCTTCGAGATTTTTTTCAATCTATACAGTCGAGCAACGAATCCTCATTATATTGAACAATAATTAGCACTCTTCAGATGATTGGTCTTCTTCACTAGGTTTTTCTTTTTATTTTTGTCACGCAACTACCCTGCGCCATCTGTGCATAGTATTTGGCAATGACACAGGAGCGCAACCACTTCTTGCAAATTCCGGGTCCAATTACGGTCCTGCGATCCAAGGAATTGCTTTTCTACCTTGTCTGTCGCTGCTTGCACAACTACGCTCTTGATACGCTTCTAGGCTGCAGTTATTTGAAAGAGAACATAGATCAAGATTTTGAACACAAGAGTCATCGGAGAAAATCTTGTTCGGCCGATCAATAATAGCCAACTTCCTGAACGTTGTCAGAGTTTAGTCACTCTATCGTCATTTTACTGAAATCGAATATAGGAATAAGAGAGGCAAAACGCATTATCATAGTATATTATTATACTGTATTTGAAGGCAATAACCGCGTTGTCTAAATTCGTCGCGCATGATACGAGCAACCTAAAGATTTTAATCGTACATTTCAGGTAATCCGAAGAATTGCCTTGAACGACAAAGTCGTTCAACCGCAATTTCAAGGTGTGATTAGGCACTCCCCCTCCAGATAGTCTGCAGTAAAACCTGCCTGAAACAACGGAAATCGCTGGGCGTAGCACGTGTCCACCTATCGAAAGTTTACTTGAAGGAGGAAACAAAAAAAAACTGATCTTCAGACTGGCGCAGAGAGCTAACACCTTTTGATGTTTGACAAAATTGTGGAAAATGGTTCAGCACATAAGTTCGCTGGTCGAATGGACATCAAAACTGATGTTCCAATCCACAATATTTCTCCAGTCGTTGGGGGGTTTTTCTGGTAAGAGAGGGAAAATATGAGATTAGATGCTTACACTTTGAAGAGAGCCTTACCAGATATCTTTACGATACAAGTGCCTCGCCATGCAGACATTGATATGTTTTAATTCAAAATAATATATCCTCTTCTCCCTCCCGGGTACACAACCGACTCGATGCTGAATTTATACAAGTTTCCGGTTATATAACAATGGAGGGTACTACAATGTTAGGTGGATATTTATTATTTTTTTGAAAAGGATCAATCTAATCGTAAACAACTGTTACATGTAACAACTTCAATATTAACCAATCACGTATCCAGAATCTTAACCCTAACTCAGGTCCTAATTAACCAATTAAAATGTGGTTGTTACAAATAACAGTTGTTACAAATACCGTAAATTCACTGCATAAAGTACTCTACCCTGTAGAAAACAATATTCGCGGTGCAATTTCTTCAAAAATTTTGTTACTAAATTAACAGCTTTGCGTTTAAATTTTCTACAGTGGAGAGTACTTTATGCAGTGAATTACGGTACATTTATTCTATTGAAAAAATTTAAATTGAAATGTATACCCGGTTAATGATTTAACCGGAGTTTAATCAATATCCAAATAGACAAACATGGCCCATATATAGTAATTAATCATCGATTTAGCCAATGAGACGTCCATTGTTATGATAATCTTAGAAAAAGTGTTATACAAGTTCATTATCTATGCAGGCTGTTGTTGTAATTTCAACGTTTCGTCATACAAAATAAATTATATTGATTTTCGGAAAGTGTGCGTGTGAGCAAAAATTTTGGAGTTTACATCTTGGTTGTTCTTTAACACACGCTTGTGGGACAAAAAATTTAAACAATAATAATAACTTCCTGTTCACATACTCTTTTATGGTTTACACCACCAAAATAATATTTATCCCTTAAATTATTCTTTACTCTTCTCGCTTGCTTATACTAAAAAAAAATAATATCTATTACCAAGCTTAAATAATGACAATCCAAGCAACAAAATAAACAAATAAATAAATAAAATAATTCATAATTAAATAAATAAATGGAATTTGAATACGACGATGCACCATTATCATATTATGCATTTCTCGTATGTGAAATTCTATCAAATTTAGATAGTCAAGTTGACTTACTCTCTTGTAGCTTGGTCTCTCGTCTATGGAACACTTGTGCCACCCCCCTTTTATGGAAAGCACCAATTCTGAAGCGAATCTCAACCCTACAAAAGTTTATAGGAACTCTATATCAAAGTAAATATAACAGAACAACATACTCGTATGGCTGTTTAATTCAAAAATTAGATTTGTCTCGATTAGCGAACAATATACCAGCCGCGGAACTTGGTTTGATCTCTGAAAGTTCAGCTGTATTGAAATTTTTGGATTTTTCTAATGTTTCTGAATTACGCGAGGAAACTTTATGTCGAATCGCAATCAGATGTGCTCAATTAAGATCAATTAAATTAATTAATCTTCCGTATATAACTGATTACTCGTTACAACAATTGTTGCAACGATGTCGAAATTTAGAATGTCTGGCGATTGGTGATTGTACTCGGTTAACGAATGCAGGATTAATTGAAATTGCGAACTACGCTCGTTCTTTAACAACCTTAGAGATTTACTTGACAAATACTCCAACGAAACATACATTTTCACGTATTATAAAAAGTTGCCGAAAGCTTAAGAATCTTCACATTTGGGATTGTGTGGAATTAGATGATGCTTCGGCACTCACTATCGCAGAAAATCTAGCAGAAACTTTGGAATCTTTGATTTTACATAATCCGCCAAATCTTACGGATATTTCGTTAATAGAAATTGCAACGAATTGCAAAAATTTACGTCATTTTGGACTTGAACCTCATGAAGGAGTAACAAACGCGACATTGATCGGATTAGCAAATAATGTACATAATTTAGAATCATTAAAATTGTCGCTTCGTGATGCTTCAAATATTACAAATGATGGATTCTTAGTATTAGCAAATCGATTAGAGAATCTCACAACTTTACAAATTCAAGAATCCCGCTCAAAAAATGTTACGGACCTTTCACTGAGGATGCTAGCGATACGAGGCGGGAGGGCATTAACATCACTTCACATATATAACAGTTCATTCTCTGACTCTTTATTTGAAAGTAATCAATCACCAATCAATGATCTTTGTCTTTTCGGTTTACCCAATATCACTGATCAACCATTGATTGATCTGTTACGAAGTATTTCTGGAACGCTAACTTCCCTGCAACTTTCATATTGTGATCAAATCACCGAGGATGTTTATATTAACGGATTAGGCGTTTACGGTAGAAACTTGAGAAAATTAATTTTATTTCCATCTAATGAAATTACGATCGATGGTCTGCGAGCCATTTCAACTGGATGCTCAAGACTGAAAGAGTTCAATTTGGCCAGTACAGAAGATGCGCCTGCATCGGTGATTTATATTTTATTTCGTTGTTATGATCAGTTATCTAATAATTCACTCACTAACCACTATAACGATACTTGTAGCTCATTCCGGTCGTAATAACACAAATGCGCGAGCTTGAAAAACTTCGTATTCGAAATTGTCCAAATATGGAGGTTCAGCATATTTACACGATACTTTGTGGGTGTCGTCGTCTAAAAGAATTCTTTTTGGGAGGAAGTCGTGATGTAACACAGGAATTTGTCGACGAATATAATATGGATGGTAAAGGACGACCATTACTAGTGTTGGGACCTTGAGATCTTGATTTATGCATACATCCATTCTTTAAATGTTTAAATGTCTATATCCAATTAACTTTTTTCATTTCTAATTTTGTATATTTTTTATTCTATCAAGAAAATTTAGAACATTATAGTTATTATAGTTATTACAGTTATACACATTGGACACCATTGTCTCCGACTATCAGTTCAATATTTTCACGTGATAGTTTAACTTGGTGATCATTTCATTAACAGCAGCCAGCCATAGTTTATAACACTTTCAAATGTCCCACTTGGGTAACACGCATTTTACACTTAACGTTTCAACGTTAAGAGAATTAGCAAGAAAAGAGCTAACTAACGTATTAGATTCTGTACGAGCCAATTCTTTTTTTATTTTGTGCATAAAGGTCTACTTTGTTGTATTACATATTTTGTTAATTAGAGTAAAGCATTTTTATTCAATTAAAGGTTCGAGGCCGAAAATGCCTTGTGTTAGATCAAAATATCAGCGGGCCCTTAAGCTTAGTGGCTGAATTTTCATTGTTGAAGGTGATTTGACTTTATGCCTTTATTTCTCGACTGTGTACATTAATCTAAAAAAAAGCGAAACTTAGCTCCCAGAAACTCATTCTTAGGATCATGGGGTGGAGAAGATGCATTATCTTCAACAAGGTCCTCTGAATACAGAACTTCGTAGCGTGATATACATATGTCGCCCGTCTTTACAATATATGAAATACATTGCCGGTACAATCAATGCATATTTTTCTTTAATAAGGACTCTTATTTAAGTTATTCTATGATGACTTTTAAAATTCTTATCTCATGCACACTTATTAGAACATATTCGAACACATCAATCAGAGAATTCTGCAAATAATGATCAACAAAAATACGAATATAATTTGTTTTTTGTACCTCGACGAACGAAAATCTGTGAAAGGGTTTTGGAAGAGGAGGGTGTCTATGGAGATATCCTTTATATGATCTGAGCGCATAGATTTTGTCGATTATCGCCATTATTTTCTTTGACTATTGAGCTTACAGATCATCCTTGGCGAATATCATTTGGATTTGATTCCTTTCGAAGATGATTTGTTGTCGATGGAATTGGAGAACACATACAAAGAGCTTTATTTGGTAGTATATTTACTAATAAAATGAATACATAAGTATTAAGTTAATTGGTAGATATCTCTAAATATTATAATATCTAGGATGGTGATTATACGGCAATTTATTATGCTGCCCGTGCTTTGATGAGACTGCAGACACTCTTTGGATTGTTTCCTAGAGTAATTGGGAAAGGAGATTGCGCTAAGGTTCAATTATTTAAGATGGATAATAATAGCGCGCTTTTCTTTTATTAATTTAGTTATGTACTATTCTCTTTGGTAGCACCTTGCAGACATGCTTCTTCGCATGCGTAAGGAGGTTGCTATAGACGACCCGTCATCCATGCTCTCAGCTTCGCAAAATATCGATTCTCTCATTATAATAGATCGTTCAGTTGATCTAATTACTCCTTTGTGCACCCAATTAACCTACGAAGGACTTATTGATGAAATATTTGGAATAAGAAATTCTTTTGTTGAAATCGACTCTTCAATAGTGGGACCTGCTCCGCAAAGAACAAGTGCTGCATCAGCCACCGCAGCATCAACTTCAGCGACTACACCTGCACAGCCTCCTCCTCCACCACAATCACCCGCAAAGAAAAAGAAAATCCCATTGAATTCTGGTGATAAATTGTTTGGACAGCTTAGAGATATGAATTTTGCGGTTGTAGGTGGAGTTTTGAATAAGGTGGCAAAAAGGATCAATGAAGATTACGAAGTGAGTTATTTAAACTTTATAATAATATTATAGTAAAAGGTTACTTAATTATTTTTTTTTGAATTGCTTGAATAGGGAAGACATCAAGCTAGAACCGTTGCTCAGATTAGAGAATTTATGAATAAACTTGGGGGACTGCAATCAGAACATCAATCTTTAAGAACGCGTATCTTTTTTTTGGATTTGCTTTTTCTTCCTTTTTTATATTCATCACGTCCTTGACACATAGACAGACACCGGAATTGCAGAAGAAATAATGGGCCATACTGTCACGCCTGAATTTAATAAAGCCCTTGAGGTTCAACAAAGTATGATAATTTCACCAAGCAAATACGATTTTCTCGATATTTTATTATTTAACTATATTCTATGTTTATTCAGATCTGGTTGCTGGGATTGATATAATCACACAAAATGATTATATTGAGGAAATGATAAATCGTCAAGTTCCTCTGGTGCAGGTCTTGAGATTATTATGTCTGCAAAGTTTAGTGAATGGCGGAATCAAGCAAAAGAGCTTTGATTTTTTTAAAAAGGAAATTTTGCAGGTAAATTGTTATCCTGAATTTATTTTAATTTAAAAGATGTCGGGATTTAATAAATGCTCAATTTCTAGACTTATGGTTTTGAACATCTTCAAAGCCTTTTAAATTTGGAACGCCTTAATTTATTTGTTAAACAAGTTTCAACTCGAAACCCATATCCATCAGTACGTAAATCTCTACGATTAATTGTGGATGAAGTTGACGAGCATAATCCTCAAGATATCTCATATGTATATTCTGGTTACGCGCCATTGAGTGTACGCCTAGTGCAATGTGTAGTCACCAAAGGTGGCCCACCTGCTTTGCTGAATCCTTTATTGGCGTTTAGTGGTGGTTCTGTTGGAAATACTGGAAGAAACAATGGGTGGAAGGGTTATGAAGAAGTTCTGAGACTATTACCCGGAAAAACTTTTGACGAAACTCAGAAATTAGAAGAGGGTGCTATTCGGGCAAAAAGTAATTAAGATGATCGATTTGTCCGAGTATTGAATTTGATAAATATGACACTAAATTTTATTAATTTTATGCCTAATAGGATTGATTCCTGGTCAGCAACCTCGTGTTACACTTGTGTTCTTTTTAGGTGGTTGCACATTTACCGAAGTTGCGGCAATACGATTCTTGGCACAACAAGACGAGGGTTAGTAATAGTTTGGATATTCTGTGAGCTAAATAATTGAATTATAATCTAATGGTGATTTAAAATCATATAGGACAACGGGAGTTTATAATAGCAACAACCCAGATCATTAATGGCAATTCCGTATTGAATTCTGTTCTTCAAAAAGTGGACCATGAAGCAAGTAGCAAATCTTCAGCAGCTTGAATTTAGTGTTAAGATTTAGAAATAGATTATGGACTTTTTTGGAAAATTTATTTATTAACTTGCTCAAATATGCAAGGTTCTTTTGAAAGTCACCTAATAGATTTCATTTGTACAATAATATGGTTGAATCAAAAATAATTTTTTCAAATGCGGATGACCTAAATCGCGTCGTTAAATAATTGTTAATAAGATTCTGTTAGCTTATATTACCGTTACTTCATAACTAAACGTTATATATAATTCAGAAAGTATTTTGGTTTATTTTGTAATTGTTCATTATAGTTTCTATTTAATTTTTGACATTGTTAAAATACATTAACTAGTTATGCCTAGTAAATGTATCAGTTAAATATATTACACAAATAATAAATCTAATTCTTTTTGATAGTAATAATTAATATTGATGTATATACTCGGAATTATATGTTCCAATACTCGTTGCTCATTCCCCCATTCCCGGAAATTTTCAATAATTTGAGTAACCATTCGTTCCATTATAAGGTGTTCCAAATCCTTGTGGAATTCTAAACAAGAAAAAAATACGTTAGGATATAAAGGATTAAGAAAAGCTACAAAAAAAAGCTTACCCTTGTCCAGGACCTTGTGTTATTAACAACTGATTTCCGAGACCGACTCCAATTATTGGAGTTTCTATTCAAATATTGATTTAAATTGTAGTGAGATTAAATAAGAATAACATAATATCAGTTTGTTATCTAAATATAAAATTACCGTTTTCGTTTTGTTCTCGCTGTCGTTCTTTAGCCCTCAATTCTTCCATATTCCGATCTATATTACTAACCTGTTGAACAAAAAAGTTGATTAAAATTTACGGTGAATAATGAACAAGCTCCTTTTTGTTCATACTTTACCTTTACGGTTAATTCTCTGAAAGACTGAATCATAAAAGGCATGGCAAAGTCGGTTAATCCATTTCTCCAGGACAATTCTAACACCACATCTGGTCGAAGTAAGTCATAACAAGAATAAAGGCAGGCTGTGAAGCATTCTTTATTTCCCGTTTTTACAAAGTATTCTAAAAGCTCTTCAGCAACTTCAGTGGAGCGTGATCCGTTTGCGGTGTCGATTGCGTCCTTGTATAATTTGTCTTCTTTTGATAGAGCAATAGACTCTTCCCATCGTTTATTCCTTCGATATATCAGCGCGGCAATTCGCCGAAATTCTAATAATTCATGGCCTTCAAGTCTCTTTGCCAATTTAACATTGTCGAAATTAGAAAAATTGTCAATGGAATCACGTAGCGACTTGTAATCTTCTTCCTCGATTAAGACATCATTATATGCATTATTGACTGCTTCATTATTTTCCTGAATAATAATAATAGTGAGATTTATAATAATAAACGAGTTATTGATACAACAAAATAAAACAAATACCTTCTGAACTGAGATTAAATATGACTTAATCAAAGGTATGTTATCAGACTTGGCAAACATTTGAACAACTCTTGTATGGTCAATCCGAGGCGTAAGAGCTGCAAGTAGGTCATTAAGCAATATAGGATGTTCATCTAAGTAGAATTTGAGAGCCTGGAAAAAACAAACAAAATTAAGTAAATAAAGTATTATAAACAAATATTATTAAATTATATACCTTGTAATATATTTCCAGGTTGCTGACTTTAACAATAATCCCTTTAAAGCGATTATGTTCCCAAGCATCAGCAGCATGTGTCATTATTGCGAGGGAAGCATTATCAAATTCGTCATAGTGCTCATATAAGAACACTTGCTCATTCCATAAATGTGCTTCTTCGCAAGCTCTTATAACTTTAGGGATATTTAGGCGATTCCAAAATAGGCGCAAGTGCTCGTCGGTTTTATCGGGGCGGTATTTGGTGTATAAAATTGCTAATTCAGTGAACATGCCCATGTGAGCTCTTTCCAAACCCAAACCACTTTCAAGTAAAGTCAAGAGCTCATCGATATATCCATTTCTTTCGTAGAGATAAATTACATCCTAGGAAAAAACAGATATTAAAATCCCGTTTTGAATAATCAAATATTATTTAACACTACTACTAACTTGTAATTCTTCCGCATGCACAACAATACTCAATCCACAAATTTGCGCTAATCGGAATTCCCGATGTTGAACACAAGCGGTATGTACTTCTTTCCAAACCCTAAAAATGATCATAATATTATATACTAGGTTAAAATGAAGACAAATTAGCAAATAAGTAATATTCTTACTTTGTACTTCCTGCTTTGCGTGCTCCATCCACAGCAGCTTGATGTTCTCCTAAATGAACGAGAGTAGAAGCTAGACGAGCCCAATTGGATATACTCTGGAATAATATTTTAGCAGCCTCATATAATTCATCATCATAACATCGATCACCAGTTGCTTGTATTTGGGCAACATTAGGTCCATTAAGAAATTCCTCTAAATCGTGGAACCTTTCAGTTTTAGCGAAAGCAAACAAAAGCTCACTGTCCACCAATGGTTCACGAACATGCTTGCGGCACATTTGTAAATAACGGACAAGTTCTTCATATTTGCCGGCTCGCGAAGAAATATCGATCACTTCAGAGAAGTTGGCCGGATCATCAGCACGAATATAGGAATCTATGAACGAGGACAAATACAAATGGTCAGAAAAACAAAGATTTTTTCTTATAGTAATAGGTCAGTTGACTTTACCAATAGAATCTTTGATTCTCAGGCCTTCAATTTGTGCCTTGGCCAATCTGCTCCAAACATCTGATTGATCAACTTTTTCAGCGTATTCTGCGGCACGATCAATGCTTGCGATGTGTTCAATAAGGACATTAATAGCACTAGTATGAACTTCATATTTCTTAAATATAGTGAAAGCTTCTTCATAAAGGTGAGCATCGATAGCAATGGTAGCAATATCCGGAGCATCATAATGATTCAATTTATTGACGTATTCCATAACTTTCGATTTATGAGCCTAGAATAAAAATAATTTAAATAAAAATAAGCAAAAATAATTACAATATAAGAAAAGAATCCGACTTACCTTAATAGCTGTAAGGATAAGAAGATTCTCCAAGTTACGATTTTCGCTGAAAGCAGTATTTTCCAGTATCAATTTCTCGAGCATTTCAATCAGCTCAAGAGGCAAATCGGCGGCCATGAAAGCTTTCACAGTTATGGATACGTCTTCTGGATCATTCGATTCAGGTAGAGCAGTGTTATTCACCTATGCAAAATAGATGAGAATATTGTGAATCGAATTATCAATAAAAATAATATGTCATGAGATCCAATGAAATCAATTACCTGATCAATTAACGCTCTGCGATGAATATTTTCTGAACCAAGTACGTATTGCCATAGCTGAGGATCCCGCCGTTTTACCAAGTATCTTGCTTGATGTTTAAACATGGTATTCTCGTTTGTGATTTTAACAAGCTCCTTGTCACATTGTCCCCGTTGATAAGCAATGAATGCGAGATAGGGATCCCGCTTTTCACAATATTGGCCGACAATGAGAGAATTATAAAACTAATAATAATTTATAATAGTGATTATTAGATAATGAATTCTGTTAGAAAGAAATTCTTTGGCTTACTTCGTTCTCGCGTAGAAAAGCTTCTGGATTATTGTTACTGTCGATGTATATTTTCGCCAAGGCATTGTAAACGGCAGGATCTTTACTTCCTTCATTAATACGCAGTTCAAGCCACGGTAACAACAATTTCAACCTATTTCGTTTTTCGACTTCTTCTACCAATTGGTCGACAGGTAAAGGGCCGTTAACAGACATTAGGAGATTCTTGATGACAACTTCATCACAGTCAACATCGAGTAACCCGCCTATGACAATTGGTGTGCGGCTAGGATTCACTTTTTGCACGTATACTTCAATATATTTAGTTAAGTTCTGTTGATATAGGAAGAGAACGAGGTCATGGACAAAATCGAATCTGTCGCAGACGATGATTAGCGGTAATTGATCTGAAAGTTTTGCTTCCTAATTTTACAGAAAAATTATTTATTTAGATTAACTGAAAATGAATATAATATCCAAATAAATAATTAAACACTAAAAAATACCTTTAAAAAGTTTTTCACTTTTTCAGGATCATAATAATTGCTTTCCCTGCAAATTCGTTCAACTTCTTTAATTTGTCCGGCTTTTACGCCAGATTGAATATATTTGAAGTGAACATCGGGATCGGTGCTGAGATTGACAATCGATCCGAGATAATAGTATAAACCTGAAGTAAAAATCGACACAAATGAGATTGTTGATATAAATAGGATGAATATGGTGTCTTTCGATATTAAAATATTGTGTACCTTCGTATGTTTTGAAATCTTCAAATAACTTGATCAGATTTAAAGGCTGCAGTTGTTCAGAGTATTTGGTAGCCACTTGCACGACAATTTGTAGATTCTGCCTTATATTAACTTTGAGCATTTCTTTCATGCAGTCGATTGATTGTTCCACTGATAATGTACCAAAGTAATTGACGACCCACTAAAACCAAAAGAAAAAGTTAACAAAATGAAATAAGAAAATCTATATGAGAAGTGATGCAATGTAAATAATTTACCTCGATGTTTAAAATGTGAGTATGTACAACTACACGTTTGATATCTGTTATGTCTTCGTAATGTTCCAAAGCCTAAATATCAGTAATTTAATAATCAGTAAATAAAGATAAAGAACGAAGACAAAAATAAAATATGGACCCTTTGATATAGTCCAGCTTTTTCGCACAATTTTGCGATAGAAGGGCGATCATAGTGAGTGAACATTTCATTGCCGAGAATAGCATCTGCAACTTGTGGTGCATGAATCAAATTCATTTCAAGTAGACGAGTTTGTAAATGTGCATGCTCTGGCTTGTTATCTTTCAGCGCGTCTAATAAAAATGATGTTGCCTGTTGTATCAGGTTTTGGGACATGAATACATCTACAACCTAAAAGAATATAATAAAGAATTAATATTTAAATTTTTTGTTATTACATATATGGCAAAAATAATATTGTAAATAAAAAAATACATACTCGCTCAATATCCACTAAAGGTCCATTTTCATCATTCACCAACAATGTGGCAAATTCACCACCTTTTTCGGGATCCAATCGCATTATTTGTTGCAATAATGTAGCGTATTCTGGTTGGAATCCACTCTGCTTTGCATACCAGATTATCTTGTCATATTGACCAAGCTCGGCAAAACAAGCAATAACCTTGTTGGAAACATTCGCCCGAAGATATACAGCTAATGCAAGTGGTACATCATATTGACGACACACATCGCCAAGTTCTTCGGTGGTTTCAAGCTAAATATATAAAAAAATTAAAATTCAAAAACATCAGAAATCTAGACATAATAGAATCAAATTATTTTTTATTACCTTATCATCCTTTAACCATTTTTCCAATAATTGTTTGCGGCCTTGTTGCAATACAGGCTTGGCCAATTCAATAGATTCTTCTTTATTTAGATCACCTTTTTCAAGTAATATACCGAAATATTGCAGTATAGGCGAAATTGACCCTGTTGGTACGGGAACTGATTTGAAGCGTTCAAGTGTTTCCTTAGTACGAAGAAATCCCTATTTGATATAAAAAAGATGCTCAGCAATTATACGAAATGTCAAACTAGAAACAACAATAATCTGCAATCATATTTACTCGTGGTGATTTAGCTGCAACTTTGGCTGCTTCGCTATAGTTTGCCACTAAGAATAGGTTCAAGAATTTCTGCATATATAATTCTTCGGCTCCTGGCAAATCATTTCGTGCAGCCATCCGAACAGCCAAATCAGCATTCCCGATTATTCCGCTAATATATGGAATTATATTATTTTCGTCCACCGATACAGACAAAACCTACATCAAAATCACCACAAAATTTATTAAACAAATATGAAACTAAATATTCAAACTAAATATAATTTCTTTTACCTGTCCTTTTCGGTTAACTCCAATGATGCCACTAGTTTTTTCGTACTCTGCAGTGACAAATATCGTTTCGCCGCTAATTCTGTTCATATAAATACATGTTCCCGTCTCCAAATCATAAAGATGAATAAAACCGAATTTTGTCACAAGAAATATGATATTATATTTCTTGCTAATCTGCATCGATACGGGAAAATCTCCTGTGGCTTCGGCAGGGAAAAATACATCCACAGCCTTTTTTGCGAAAACGGGGTTCTCTTCTTTATGATCAACCTCGACAATATGAAGCTAAGAAAAATAAATTAAATATAGCTGCAATATTGGTTTTTTATGCTAAAGAGAATAATTTAATAATACCTTTGCCCCGGTTGCATTTCTTACTGCAAATGTGAAGAGTCGAGTTGGTGATACGCCACCTTCCAGCATTATTGTAGAAAACGCAGCAGCGTGTCCTTCGATTGGTTGACTCACTTTTCGTTCTAATGAATAAAGCTGCATGTTTCCGGCGACCCTTCCATCCTAAGAATCGAATTTTATTTAGAATTATTCAATACAAGAATAATTATAAAAATATAAACAACTTAAAAAACATACCACAGCTGCTATTCCTATTAACACCATCCATTTATCGTCTGTATTAACGCGATAATTTATGATTTGACAACCAGCAAGGTTTCCATGCCGATCAAAAATCTTCTCTGGCGGCGAAGTCTCATCATTCATAGACCAATGATATACAGCTGTGTTTGTGACTAATCCTAGAGTTGTGTCATTGATCCATTTCCAAAATACAACATCTTCGTGCATATTATGTGCCTTCACTTTTGCTTTCAGCTCTAAATTAAACACTTGTAATTGGCGTGATGCTAGAGATCAAATAATAAAAAATTCATTATAAAAGGGGAGAAAACGCGTGTTGAAAACACAGATCAATAATCTAAATTATACCTTTTAAAGCGAGTTTTTTCTCTTTAGGATGCATTATTGCAGCGTCAGCGCCTATAGGTCGTTTGAGAAGGTTCGCTGTGTCTGCTAGTTCAATTATCATGACTTGGTTTGTATTTCCATTTTGTTCGCGAACACAGATGAACCGGTCAGACTCCATAGTCAAGGTATTGAATCCAATACTACTGACGTTAACGCCGAGATCTTGAAGCTAGAACAAACATAAAAAAGAATCAGAAAATCAAATGTGACATTTCATTAAGTATAAGCCACGGTAATTATAAAAAAAGTTAACGAAAGTTCAATGTCTTGAAAGATCCAAAGGCAAGCTTCTCTTGCAAGACAAATAAAGAAACCAAGAGCGAGGGACTTGCCTGGACATGTTCTTGAAATTTAATGGGAAGTATTTCTCCCATGTTGGTAATTATTTTTAATTGAGTGGTGAAGTGGTGGCGTCGTCTTGAACTTCCTTCTACAAGACTGATATCTTTTATATTATAGAACTTGCCCAATAATCGTCTTTTATGTAACTCGAAATGGTTCGACAATATGGCTTTGAAGATGACTCATTAGAATGATTTATGGCTTGATAGAGGAGTGGCTAAACTTTGTAACATGCACTATCATAAATTTAGAGAAGATTTGATTTCAAAATTCTAACATTTAATAATTTTAAGTTATATATTAAACAATGATTTCTCTATGTTTAGTTTCTATTTACTATTTATAAGAATAAAATAATAGAAATAATAAACGCGAATGCAAAAATGACGCAGGAATGTTTTGTTAATTAATTGATTTTATCTTGTACAAGACAAGAATTACTAAGAACCGATAATTTATCCAACGGTTTAGTAGACATAATAATGCGCCAACCAGCGATGTTTTTACTTCCGTCATATGCACTAACTGGCGTTACTGTAAAATTGAAATCTGGCGAAGCAGCTCTCAAATAGAATTCGATCTCCTCACCAAACAAATCTAACATTCGGAAACCTTCGAGTTTAAAACGCCATTGAATACTCGATATTGACGGTGAATCGCATTTCGGATTAACTGACGGCACTGTTCCATCTCGATAAAAGATTAATTCGATTTCCGGGTGAAAACGCGAAAGTGGCTCATACGCGGAATCTTTGAGGGATGTGATAAATTCGTCGAGTAGAGATGCGGCTGATTTATGAGCTTGTGGTACATCGGTAAAAGTTGTTGGGATTTGAAAGTAATCGAATTCTTGTTGTAGCTCTTCGATTGTGCTCATATTGTTCGCTATGGATGCTGAATTGTTATTATTGCTTGGCCACGATATTTTTCCAGTTCGATAGTATTCGAGAATGTAGTGAAATGCGAGTCCATTCCGATCGATGAAGTATTCGTTACCATTGATTGGATGAAGTAATTCTTCGTTTCTATCTTGAAACATTGTTCCGAGTAATGAGTCTGGTTGTGAAGTTAATGTTGAGCGTAACGTATAATACTAATAATATTTGAAAATAATTTATGCCGCCATCTATGAAAAAGTTAATATCGCTAATCTCGACACATGCTTACCTTTATTCCACCAACATTTAATATAATAAAATTATCGTTCTTTTTTTGATCATGTAATGGTGGTAAATTTGATTTATTTCCTGCATTTAATGACTTTGACTTGACTTTCTCTTCGTTTTTATTTTCACTCTTGCAATTGTTACTATTATTATTATTATTACTTTTCAATTCTCCAAGAATCAAATTCCAATTAATAAGTCCTTGTTTATCTAGTAAACGTATAACCATTACAGCAGCACCTATCACAAATGCGATACTCAACCACATTGTGATAAAACACAAATGAAGGAATGAATCCATATTACTGCTATTACTATGAATATTATAATTAGTATCTTTTGGCGAACAATTTTTCATATTATCGTTTGGAAATTTCGCGTGTGTTAAGGAACAATTTACCGTTTCTTTCTCGACGTATTTATTATATCTATGATTGTGTATGTATAAATGTTTTTTTTAACAATTTAATATTTAAATTAAAACTGTACCACTGTTATTCGTCTCGTTAAAATTTTTCCCCACAGAATGATGATAGCATATAAACACTTTTACATTTATCCATTCACAATATTCGTAATATGCCCCTGAGACCAAAGTAGAAATTGGCGATAAGGGACAAGGTATAAACCGCAGCCAAAAGTGAATAGAAGTGATCATTCTGGACTTGACTTCGTGATAAGAAATCCAAATTTAACGCCACCAAGCAAATTATACCTGTTATTATCCGGCTAACTTCTATAATAAATAATTACGCTTTGAAAATAAAAAAGAACAATTAAGAAATTTCATCTAGATGTTCTTTTAGATTTGAGAATAAAACCAAGTATCTTCTTTACTTATGATTCACCGTTTTTCTACTTTGAAAAATTGCTATTGTTAAATCTATAATGGCATACATTATTCATATCATACCTCTTTCCCCCGCGTTGCATCTATGCATTTTTGGACATAGTTGTCTTATATAAGAGATAGAAACATGTGTGCTGAATCAATAGAATATTTCGTTCCGTTAGTACCAGTTTCGCGAATTTGAGACAACGAACGATCAAAATTTGTTCCAAATCGGTAATAATGCATTTTCTAACCGCCAATAATGTAAAAGAACGTATCAGATTCGCGTCACCGTAAAAATTTGAAATTATTCATACCGATACTAATGGTTTCAAATTCCAAACTTCGAACAATGATATCTCAATATTCAATGGACGAAATTGAATGTTTTTATACATTAAATTCTTGAAATTATAATCAAAAACATTTTGACTTAAATTATAATTAGATATAGTTAAAAATCTCTATAATCACATTTCTCTATAATCATTCAATTTTACTTTTTTAATTATTAAATAGCCAAGTAAAATATATTTTTTTATAGTATCCAGTTTACTTTTCCGAAAGATTTAGTCGTAATTCATCTAATTACAATATTAAGCTTATTTGTCTATAAATTGTTTATATTTGAAGATTAAGATTTTTTTAGTATTATACGGATTTGATATTATTTTTATATATGTAATCAAAATTATTAATAATTTTGATTGCATATATAATGATTTTAGTAAATCAAGATATTTTATTAATTATTTATTATTTTATTATTGAAATTTAGAGTGTATTTTAATAATTTATTATATAATTATATTTTTCAATTTAATTATTTTTTAAATTAGTATATTGATCAATCAAACTGAATTAAACTTTGATTTATTTTTGAGTTTGATTAAATTTCAAACTTAAACTTGAATTAGATTTTTTAATTAAATTACAAATTGATTTGATTTTTGATATTATATATATATATTAATTTATAATTATAAACTTTATATTAATAGTTAATATTTATAATTATAATATTTATAATCAATATAAAAATCAAAACATTTTAAGTAAAGTTATAGTTAAAGATGAATTACAATAATTACAATTAAATTATAATTTAGATTATAATTAAATTATAGTTATTAGTCAGTTCATAATATATATATTGCTACTGTTTTTAGTTCTTATATATGAGAATATTTAGAAATGGTTAACAATGACTGTATTTATGGCAGATTTTAAATAAAAAAGATATAATTGATAATAGTGAATGATTAACAATGATAAGTTAACAAGAATATAAATATAAATTGAATATTAAATGTATTTAAGTGACAATAAAAGCTAAATATATATTATAAATTAAAGTTAAAAGTATATAGTCAAACTTCTCTATATAATTAAAGACAATTCATATTTACCAACTCCAGAAGGAAATTTTGAAAAAGATCCAGAAGATCAAGTAATCCAAATAATAGAAGAAGATAGTGAAAAGAATCTGAATTAATCATGAATAGCGTACAATTTAATCAAATGATGACTGGATTAACTAATCTGACAAATACTATTCAAGCACAAACCAATACTGCTCTATCAGCAAGGGAAGCATTCTTCACAAAAATCATTGATTTTTATGGAGATATCCAAGACCCTGTTGGATGATTATAAAATTTTGAAAGTGCATGTTAAGCTAATAACATATTCAATGTTAGAAAAAAACAAATTATTAACGCATATTTAAAAGGTTCTGCTAGAATATGATTAGCCAACAAAAGAACTACTGTTGCTGATTGATTAACTCAATAAAATTCAAATGATATTAACAATCATGTTGATCAAGCTGCTTCCTTTATATATTAATTCAAATAGACATTTAGAACTGTTGATAAAATCTATGAATGACAACAACAGTTAAATCAACATAAGTAATTATTAACTGAAACAGTAGAATAATACTCAGTTGCTGTTAGAGAATTACTTCATCATATTGATCCTGATAATAGATATCCAGAGCATCTCAAAGTAATAATATTTATTGAAGATTTAAAACCAAAAATTAAATTCTTTATTAGCTTAACTAGATCAGCTACTTTAAATGATGCTATTTATACTGTTCAATTATATAGATCAAGTTATCAACAAATTGGAGAACTAAATCTTATTCAAGCAACATCCAATACTATAAGTTTGTTAAATATTTCAATATCTCAGTCACTAGTTGAAAATAATATAACTCAATTCTTACAACAATTGGAAACCTTGACAACGAAACTAGAAAATTCATTAATCTCTAGTAACCAGAATCAAAATCAGAACAGATCAAACAACAAATATAATAATAATAATAATAATAACAGAAATTATACAAATAATCAAAAAAGAAATTATAACAATAATAATAATAATAACAACTCATCAACAGCTTGTTATAACTGTAAAAAAATTAAACATATCACTATTAATTGTTAAAGCAAAAAAAAATAATAATTATAATCAACAAAATAATAATCAGAATTGTAATAATAATAATAATAATAATCAATACCAGAATAAAGATAATAATAATTGATAGTTCAATAATAATAATCGACAAGAAGCTTTCTTAAATACTGAATAGTCTTTAAACTTCTAAATGCACTTTCAGAAGATGAACATGTATCACAAACTAAAAATTCTTCAAAATAATTCTTGAAATAACTATTAATTAACAATGAAAATGAAAATAACAAAATTGAACAAATATCTATTGATGCACTACATTATACTGAAAAAGTAGGAAATAGAGACACTATAATAATTATAAATAGCGAAGCTGTTAGTATTATCATATCTAAAGAATATTTGAACAAAATCAATTGAAAGATTCAAAAATCAAGTAATATTAATCTTATTGAAATTAATAGAAATAAAGAATGATTACTTAGAAAAATAATAGATCTACCAATAATATTGAGTGACAAAAACTTGAATATTAATATTTTAGTAACTGAAAAAGAAAATTATAATCTTCTTTAGAAAATATTTGGACTCATAAACACCAAGTAATAGTAGATTGGAAAAAGAAGACTTGACTTTTGAAATTAATGAACAGAAAACAAAAATACCAATTTCTTGTCTTAAATGAAGAAATACAACAGATGAACAACAAAACTTATACACTCAAAAAGGTGATATTGAAATTAAAATTTAGCTTGACAACAAGAAAAGTAAAGAACTTGAAAAAACATATAATACAAATATTGAATTTGATCTCAAATATTCAAAAGATAAACTATTAGAAATTCAACCAGAAAAAATAATACTGATCAATAATTATATTGCTATAAAAATACCTGAAAATACTTATTATCAACTCGTATCAAGATTATCTTTGGCAAAACAAGGAATTAAAGTAAAAAATGAAACAATTAATGCTGGATATATTGGCAATATTGAAGTAATACTCTATAATAACTCAGATCAAATATACATTATTCAACCAAATAAAAAGATTGCTCAAGCCATATTTCTATTATTAATAAAAATTTCTAATTTAAAAATTGTTAACATATGAGAAGAATTAGAAAATTCAGAAAGAGATCAACAAGAATTTGGTTCATCAGGAAGATTCAATTCAAATTTTAATTTTGAAGATGAATTGGAATATGAAATAGAAGAAGAAAAAATTTCAGATCAACCTCTTCTAACAATTAAAGAAGAAAATAATCTTAGACATCCAAGTTAAATAAAAATTATACTCAACTTAAAGATTAATAACTTTTTCATTCAACTTTTGAAGAATTAAAAAAAAATGAGATCACCAATATCAAAAAATGCTCTCATGAAAATGATAAAATACTCAAAAATTATCTCAAATGCAATCAAGAACAAAATTTATATCAACAACTCAAAATAATTTCTTAATCATTATTCTAATCCACAATAAGTGAAGAAACTAACTTAACTAAAAAACAACAGCAACAAATAGATTAATTATTAGTTGAATATAGTAATCTATTTGATATAACAGGTTCTGGAAAAACCAATGTAATCTAATATGAGATCAATACTAAAATAACTCAACCAATAGCACTAAGACCATATTATAAAAGGTCACCACTAGAAAAAGATTTTATTAAAGCTAAAATACTTCAACAAAATATTATTTTATTATTAAATAATTTCTGATTAGCACCTGTAGTTGTAGCAAAGAAGAAAGATAGAAAATTTAGATTTTGTGTAGACTATAGATAACTCAACAAAGTAATAATAAAAGATCAATTTCCATTATCTAAAATTAATAAATTATTGAATATTTTCAGTAAAGCAAAATATTTTATAACTCTTGATCTTACTTGTGAATATTGACATATAAAAGTAAAATTAAAAGACTGAAAGAAAACTGCTTTTACTATTAATAAAGAATTATATGAATTTAATGTAATGCTTTTTGAATTTACAAATGGACCAGCAATATTTCAACGATTAATGAATAAAATATTCAGATTTTATATTAACAAATTTTTAGTTATTTATCTTGATGACACTAATATATTCTCAGAAACTTTTGAAGAACACTTACAATATTTGAGAATTGTCTTTGATATAATTTGAAAAAGTAAATTAAAACTATATTCTAAAAAGTATTATTTTGAAAAAACTTTATTAGTTTTTCTTGGATATATTATTAGAAAAGAAGGAATACAATCTGATCCTGTTAAAATTCTAGTAATTCAAAATTTTTCAATACAAACCAATTTAATAATACTTTGAGAATTTCTTGAACTAGCTTCTTATTATCAATGCTGTCATAATTGGATTTTTGGTAGATGTTATTATAATATAGATATTTAACCAAT